TGAATCCTCGTCACGTGACCCAGCGCTCACCGTCGCCCACGACAACGCTGCTGACCTCTTAACCCCGTGACGTCACGGTGGAGCGACGTCACCACCCGGTTAGACGCCATCTTGTGTAGGGGACTTGAGAGGCGCCATATTGCTCGGGGTGTACTGTACGTGTACAGTGCAGCAACGCGTTGTCTCCACTGCTGGATGAGGGATTTCCCCCACAATTTTGGAAGGGGTCGTGGGCATTGTTTTGGCCCGGGAGCTGTCACGCCGCTGACTTCATTTGGTTTACTTTGCTCTGATTTAGTACTTTTAGTTAGTTTCGTTTCGGTCACCCATGGTGCGCTCTTCACATTGAGTTCCCACATGGTTAAGGAAATTAAACACAACGGGATGCCCTAAAGGTGGCGAGTATTGTTGTACAATACAATGGGGTGTTGTTGCAGTGGCCCGTGCTGCCCGCCAAGCCTATAACACCTGTTAAGCACGGCGTTCCACCCATCCATGCTCATCATTTACATCTCGGCAGCCGAGATCCGATTGCGACCGGGCACGTGGTCCTTTGCTTTTAGTTATTGCTTTAAGAACTTCACGAGTCATTTAAATCTGCGTCCTTTTTTAAACGTTTCAACGGGTAAAATGAACGTATGTCTATCCGTCTGCTTGTTTTACTGGGACACACGCGAAATAACTTGCATATATGGATGAATAGATCAATACAAACACAACTTGAAGGGAGAGTTGTGTTGCTATGTAATTGGTGCTTTCACGATTGCTGAAAACCGGTCAGGGGCCGTCCATAAATGACGTCACGTGATTTTAGACGATTTTTGACCCCCCCCCGCCTTTGTCACACGACGTCACAAAAAATCAGACCCCCCTAAAATATGACGTCACAATGCTCTGACCCCCCAAATAAAACATGCTTCAAATCGCTTTAAACTATTGTCATTGTAGTGCGTATTTAATGTGGCGCTGCACTCTGATGTTGTAGGAGAAAACATTTATTACAAAGTATATTTAATTAAGTAGAACGTCTTGTCTATATTTATTTCAAATTGCGCATTTTGATGTGACGTCACATTTCTCAACACCCTCCCTCGTCACACATCGTCACAAATGTCTGACCCCCCCCCCCCCCCCAGGTGCGTGACGTCATTTATGGACGGCCCCTCACATTGATAAAAAACGAAAGTGGCACGTCAACTTCATATTAATGCGTTATTGTATTGGGGTACTACCTTATTACAGACCAATTCAGACCTTGTTGGTCATCCCGTGCCCTTGCAAATCTCAAGTTCACCCTAAAAAGTCCCACCACAAAGGAGAAACACAAACAAACAGACAAACATTGTTTTTGTTTCGCGCATTGAAACGGCTGTTACGCCGTATGAACCTGAAAACTCAACTTTCCATGTACAAGAATACGGGGTAAACCGTATAGGTTGACAGGTATGTGCTAAATTTCGATTTAAAGCTTTCGTGACTGCAGGGATTAATCATCTTGGTTCTTTCGGTAAAGTCACGTAGAATGGAAATAAAAAAATAAAAAAATAAAACATAATAAAATAATTCTCACGACGTGGTCTTCACCTGATGACGGCTGCTTGCGTTGTGGCCGAAACGTCGTGAGAATTATTTTATTATGTTTTATTTTATTATTTTATTATTTCCATTCTACGTGACTTTACCGAAAGAACCAAGAAGAGGTATGTACTACATTATATATCGATCAGACGAGTGCCCCATTGGAATGAAATATCTTCTGACTGCTCCAGTAAACATGGAACGTTCGATCCACGATGGCCCAACAGTTTCCAACCACGTGCTAACGATTGGGCCAACGGCATGTTAACTGGGTGACCACGTTGCCATCGTATGAAAGCCCATTTCTTATGTATTGTGATTGCATGTACAGTGAGGGAAAAAATGTATTTGATGCCCTGCTAATTTTGTACGTTTGCCCACTGACAAAGAAAAGATCATTCTATAATTTTAATGGTAGGTTTATTTGAACAGTGAGAGACAGAATAACACCAACAAAATCCAGAAACACGCATGTCAAAAATGTTATATATTGATTTGCATTTTAATGAGGGAAATAAGTATTTGACCCCTCTGCAAAACATGACTTAGTACTTGGTGGCTGAGTCATGTTGTTGGCCACCAGGTTTGCACACATCTCAGGAGGGATGTTGTCCCACTCCTCTTTGCAGACCGTATGTAGCCAACCCTAGGTGCGGGGGAATAAACTAAGCACACACACAAAAAACATTTCTAAATAAGTTAGTTTTCAAATGACTCACCACTTTTAACCATGAGACAATTGAGTTAAATTCACCCTGGCCATTAAAGGTGTTTCTTTATTCGAGCATGTGAGAGCCCATCGATATAATTTCTTGGGGCTGACGTCCTTTATTTTTTTACCATGTTACAGCCGATTGAAATTGATTATCTTTTGGATTGACCTTATATAAAGGAACAATCCATTGTGATTAACTTTTACTAAGTATAAGCAGACTCTTCCACCTACATACATCTGTCTCTCAACATAAACGAAACTACACTTTTTATTTTACCAGGTAAGGCCCATTGAGCTATACTGTATATCTATTTTTCAGAAGCGACCTGGCCACACAAATTATAGCTGAACGAAGTGGCTTATCACGTGGAAATGTACAGCAGCCAAATAATCTAAACTCATGTTGATTCTAAACGTGGAGGAAAAAAACGGAGGACCCGGAGAAAAATTAACGCGACCATTGGGAAAGAGACACCGTAAACTCCAAATATACATCAGGCGTCAGGGTTGGGATCGAACCCACTACTTCCTGCGTACCAGGCGAGGTAGTTAACATCTCGCCACCATGGCGCCACATCTCGCCACCTGATGAGATAACATACAAAAAAATAAAATCTCATCATCGACACACAACACCATTGGGAGTACATAATTTCAGCAGCATATTGTGCGCTTGGTTTGTTACTTATACTGTATTCTCCACGACAACGCTAATGGTTCTGCCGTGTTGCCTATTCAGACGAGAAAGTCACTTCCACATGGTGTGGTGGTGTGATGTTCACACCACGTGAAAATCACTTAGGTGGCGCAGCAAAGGATCAGATTTCACTTTCCACTGATGTGATCCGAACTCAGGTGCCGGGTTCATCGTGTCTTTTGTGAATCACTGCACCGCAGTAACCCCACTAAATCACATTACACACCTATACACACACAACAGAGACAAAGGTATCCCGTAGAGTCTTGAATCGACTGTAGGGGCAAGTTCTGTTAGCGAGTATCTGTGAAGGCCGGCACGGCGCACGAGGGGTGGGTGGCCAGCACCACGCCCGGCCGCCTTTGTCTCCCTTGTGGCGATGTTTACACATCGCACTAGGTACTCATTTGAGGCTGAGTCGACCTCCGGAAAGCCCATGACTGTCACTGGTGTTAGCTGTGAGCGGGAATCGAACTTGGGTTGCCGGGTTTGTAGCACAGCGCGTTTACGACTATCCTACCGCTCCCCCCATATACTTTACACACCATCACATCCATATTTACATCTGCATGCATAGATACACTGTATATCCCGACACATACATAATGTATACAACTAAACACAAACATGACCACATCAACCAATGTGTGCACACCCAATCTTTGTCAGATCTCAGAAACTAAGTTAAGGTAGATCTCGATTTAAAGCTTTCGTGACTGCAGGGATTCATCTTCTTGGTTCTTCCGGTAAAGTCACGTAGACATCGCACTAGGTACTCATTTGACTTTACCGAAAGAACCAAGAAGATTAAAGTAGATCTGATATCGCTTGGACGTGTGACCCACGATGACTGAAACAGGTCGTTGTAGGCGGCTGCTGGGGAGCTACGTAAACAGCAGAGGGGAGTGCAGCAAGATGCATTGTTGTACAGCGCTATGGCTCCCATGATCATGCCCCATTCCCCCACCACCCCTCCTTCGTGAATGCGCGCTGTCCAGCGTGCTGAAATAGATCAACAACAACCACCGTCCACCACTAGGTGGCGGTGATGTGACCATGGCGCTTGTGCCAGGCTAGGTGCACTTTGAGGCCACGTGAAGTGTCGAAGGCTCGCTGCTGCCAGGAAGGTCAAGGGACAGACCCAGGTGCCATGGATTGACTGACTGGGATGACTGGCAAATGCATCATCCTATGCTCCCCCAATGTGCCAAAAGTGGTTGAATAACCCCCACGACCCACACTGCAGGGGATGCCCTCATCCAGCAGTGGCTTAACCAAATGTACATACATGTACAAACATACACGCAAATAAAATCTCTCTACTACTTATAGGTATGATATAAAGATGTAAGTAGAGTACTGTTTCCGTATATATTGATTTTACCATTGATTTTTCTTGCCACACATCTTAGATTAAGGTTGGTGAATAACCAACGGTATTGGGGAAATATGAGTTTATACCAGGTGAAAAATATTAAAAGTAGAGATAATGTGATAGAGTGTAACACAATCCACAAATACAACTTTGAAGAAGAATACAAAAAAAAGGCTCGAGAAATACAGCCGAAGTAATTCTAACAAAAACAATACAACTCTGCTGAGTCTACTCAACAGATATAAAAGTTACAATGATTGTGGAGCTAATGCTGCGGATAAGACATTATATCGGGTGGTTCAGACGGCTTGTGACCCCCCCAAATAATTGACCCCTACCATTTCTTTCCTTTGCATATTCATTTTTGTTTTAAATAACCCTTACCTTAAATAAAGATTACGTTTTAGAGAATTAAATGGGGGTCACAAGACATCTGGAACCACGCTGGAGATGAGTGCAAGTCGACTATCAGGGCAAGTGCTGTCAGCGAGCACCTATGAAGGCGAGCACGGCCACACGAGAGAGCGGGTGGTCAGCACCACGCCTGACCGCCTTTGTTTCCCCAGTGGCGATGTTTACCACACACCGCACTAGGTGTTGGCCGTGAGCGAGAATCGAACCCGGGTCGCCAGGTTCTTAGCGCAGCGCGCTAACCGCTGCACTCTACACACACAGAGAGAGAAATCTCTCACACACATACACATCTGTCTCCAGCGTCGTCTCTTCCAGTCTCCCGCACACGTCTCCCTCTTATCGTCTCTTACGTCTTCTCTACTCTGCACACACATCCCTTCATCACTCTCTTTCTACTATTTCTCACAAACACAACCTCCCCGCATCTCTCACACCAAAATATTCCTGCTCTCCCCGTTTCTCTCTAACACCTCCCAAAGCAACCCTCCTGTCCATCTCTCTCTCTCTCATCTGCCGAACGCATCCCCTCTCTCCGCGTATCTGTCTTACATCTTCCCAACAAACATCCACCTCCCGTCTCTCTCTCTCTCTCATCTCTCACACACGCGTCCTTCTCTCCCCATCTCTAGTACACATCTCTCTCCTCCCCGTCTCTCTCACATCACACACACACACGCATCTCTTTCCATCCCCGTCTCTCTCACAATACACACACACCCATCCCTCTCCTCCCCGTTTCTCTCACATCACTCACACACATCATTCTCTCCTTCCCGTATCTCTCACATCTTTTACACACACACACATCCCTCCTTCCCCTCTCACATCTCCCCATACCCACGCATCCCTCTCCCCCCGTCTCTCTCACATCTCCCCATACCCACGCATCCCTCTTTCCCCGTCTTGCTCACATCTCCCAATACCCACGCATCCCTCTTTCCCCGTCTCTCTCACATCTCCCCCCATACACGCATTCATCCCTCTCTCCTCCCCGTCTCTCCCCGTATCCACATGGCTGGGAGGCCGCTGCTGCTGCTGCTGGCCTCTGCTACTCTCCTCGTCTCGTCTCTGGCAGGACTCGTGTCTGGTAAGAAACGTTTCCGTCTCCACTGTCGCCCACAACACGGCACACATTGTGTACACACACACACATACACACAATGCATTGTGTACACACACATAATTCATTATGTACACACACACAATGCATTGTGTGCGCACACGCACAATGCATCATATTCACAGACAATGCATTGTTTATATGTATGCACACACAATGCATTGTTTGTATGCACACACAATGCATTGTGTATACTCACATTGCAGTGTGTACACATGCGCAATGCATTGTGTGCACACATACGCATTGTATTGTGTGCACACATACAATATATTGCGTACACACACCCTCACCATAACGAATTGTGCACACAGAATGCACTTTGTACACATACAATGCATTGTGTTTACACAGATACACAACGCATTATATACACGCATACACAATGCATTGTGCACATGCATACGTTCATAATGCATTATGTGCGCGCAATGTCCTGTGCAGATACACACAGATACACACATTCACGGAATGCGTTGTGTGCAGACTTTCATATAATGTATTGTGTATATACACGTTCAGACGATACATTGTGTAGATATAGTCACGTAATCCATTGTGTACACACGTTCATATAATTCATTGTGTGCACAGTCATGTAATCCATTGTGTACACACGTTTTCAAATAATTTGCAACAATCCTGGGCAGGCTAAGATCGCACGATAATAACACAGGGTATTGTATTCGTGATATAAATAATTATTATTTCAATACGTTATGCCATCTTTTTAAAACAATAATCTCCCCCACTCACCACCATCACTACTATCACCAACCACTAGCTTTATCATCATCATCGAAAATAATCACCACCACCATCATCATCGTCTCACCAACAACAGCGGTCATTCGCCACTAAGTAGGGGTGACGTCCCCACGGCGCTTGTACCAGGCTAGGTGCACTCCGAAGCCACGTGCAGTGTGACAATTCTCGCTGACAGAAGGTCACGGGACAGACCCAGGTGCCATGGTTTGACTGACTGAGACGACTGGCAGATGCACCACCTGTACCCCCTGCTGTACCAACTGGCTGTATTTTAGTCGCCCAGCACTCCGCTCGTTGTTGTGAGCATCGCTCCTCTGCCCTCCGCTGTTGTTGGAGGGCGACTGCGTCCAAGTGCCCAGAGTAGCGTCCTTCACGAGCCTCCTCCATAGAGGCCGATCTTGATACCGCTGGTACCAACAACAATACCATCACCACCACCACCATCATTGGTAATACTTGAATTGTCACTACCGCCACCACAATTGTAATACTTACCATTGTCTCGTCACTATCACCTCCATCACAATCGTAATTCCTAACACCTCCATCACCACCGCCAAGACCACGTTCAGCGCCACCCTTAATGCGTCCCTATTTCAACCTCTCTGCCGACAACTCCAACACCTCCCAATGCCCCAATAGCCTATCAACTAAAACGCAACACGTTCGTCAAGAACACTGTGCCCCGAAAAGGAAAACATTTTAAAATATATATTGGACGACGTTTCAGACAATGGCCCTGCTTCATAGGACACGGTAAGCAGACGTTTGGCTCTCCACGTACAGCAATGTAAAATAAAATTGATATAATTTTTAATCTGTTAGATTTGGTACAATTTGGAGCAATGCTATTCAGCAAACGTTTAAGCGAGCATACTCTAGACTGGTTTAATTTGACTTGATTCCCGAGTCAGCAGGGTGATGTTTGTTAAACAAATTCTGCAGGTGTGCCAGATGTTATTTGCAAGAGCACTCCATTTTCAGGATGGGGCCCTGTTCAATGCGTAAAGCCAAGCGTATTGGTTACTCTGTTATACAGAGTATTCAACAATGGTTCACCCACCTTTACCAAACCGACACTGACCAGTGTGGTGAAGTATTGTCACGAAAAAGAACCCATGACCCAACGCGATTGACAAATGGCTTTGCGTTATTATTTAGAATATCGTAGAAGAATCCGCTTTGTATAATCATCATCACGTCTGTCAAGTTCCTAAAATCTCCCGCTTCGTGTCCACGTGTACGTGCAGTCCTCGACTTACGAACTCCCGATTTACGAACACCCGCACTCAAGAACCACAGTCGATTGGCAGGCCGCGTATGCTGGGGTAAAGCAAGGCCGTAATTATAATACATATGGGGGGACACACATTGGGTGAGCAATTGGAAGGGACACATCCCCCCCCCCCAATATAAAAATATGCTCAAAATTTCCCCCCCAGTATATTGCTATAAAAAATATTTTAAAATAATCATTGCTATGCTATGTAAATAAAAACAACAATTTGCTAAACCTTGGCCACAATATCTGGACTTGACTTCATGTAACAATGCATAGATTTCTGTTTATATTATTGTGGTTATGGTTGTACTTTATTAATCCCTAATCTCTGCCATTGAAAACAATGAAACAAGAAATGGTAAAGAAGAAAAACAGAGCAATGTAACACAATACACCATTAGACATTATTGTAAAAAATAAAAAATAAAGTCCATCCTATGTGTTAGTGAATTTTTTTATATTTTAGGCAAGAAATTAGTTTTCAAATTTAGATTTTTTTTTCTGGAGGGGGGACCCCCAGACCCCCTGGAAGATTTGGTCCCCCCCAATGTTGACTCCATGGCTACGGCCTTGGGGTAAAGTGTGGCTACTCCTGCCTGTTACCGAGATGTCTGGCCAGCGTGGACGAGTAGGCCAACTACTCTCTAGAGGGGTTCTCTAGATCTTCCTCTGGTGGAGGCCCTTCTACCAAAAGTGGTGTGGGTGAGCAATTGGAAGGGCTGCACCCTTCACTCACCGATTCTTCCACCCACGTTGGGAACTTGGTCTAATCATGCTGTTTCATCTCGTCCACACTCTCCAACCAGCCCACAGTAGGTCGCACTACTTTCCTCTCCGCTTAAATCGCACAGCTCCACTGTGAACCTCCTCCCACCGTCTACTTTTCCCAAGCTTTCATAATAATGTCGCTTATATATTGCAACTTTGATAGCGGTTACATAATTAATATTTGGGGTTAGGCTACGTACTGATTCGGCCAAAACCTCACCCGTTCAGACCGTGTCACGTTCGATAGTTACATTTGTTTCCCGACCGTTTGACGTTTTTGGCCTTTGGGCACCTGGGCTCAGCAAACTGTGTGAAAAGAGAAAAAAACCCCAAACATTGTCGTGACCCCTCGAACTCTCTCCTCCGTCCTGCAGGTGCCCCGAAGGTGGTGGACCCCGAGCAGGGATGCCTGGGCTACTACGACTCCACCGAGCTGTGGGTGGAGCCCATCGAGTGCCCGCAGGAGGAGTTCTGCTGCGGAGAGTGCAACGACAGGATGTGCTGCTCCGCCAACATCCAGAAGCTCGATGGGCACGAGCAGGGCTGGTGCAAGATCCTGGGCCTCAGGTAGAGACACGGGGAGGCACGTGGTGGCGAGGGCAGGTCAGTGGGGAAGTATGGGATGAGGGCGAGGAGAGGCACGGTGAGGCTGCAGGAGGCGTTATTCAAATCAAGATTGAGGCGTCATCTATTGATGTATGTTGAACATCTTTCGCATGGTGTGTAGCCAACCATGCCTATCGGAGGCGCGTGGATAGAAACCCGGAGTTGAGAGGAGACGGGGAGGGACGGAGACACATGAGAAGTCATGAGGGGGTGATGGGAGATGTCGAGAAGTAATGTGACCCCAGATTAGCACGATTGGCTACGTACGGTGCAAAAGAAGTTCAACACACACACACATACATGTGAGACGGGAGACGTGGAGGCACAGGAAGGCGACGGTTCACATGGAAAGGAGATGGGAGATGCAGCAAGGCGCGTAGAGGCATGGCGAGATACAGGGAGCTGATGGGAGGTACAGGGGAGGGAAGGGGATGGTGAGACGAGGCGCAGGGGGAGAAGGGAGACGCAGGGGAGTGATCAGAGGTGAAGGGAAGCATAGGTAGGCACAAGGAGGTGAATGGCGATAAGGGGTGGGGGATGCAGGGAAACAAGATGTGAATGCATGTAAGGGGCCGTCCATAAATGACGTCACGCACCTGGGGGGGGGGGGGGATCAGACATTTGTGACGATGTGTGACGAGGGGGGGGGGTTTGAGAAATGTGACATCACATCAAAATGCGCAACTTTAAATAAATATAAGCACGTTCTACTTAATTAAATAGACTTTTTATGTTTTCTCCTACGACATCAGAGTGCAGCGCCACATTAAATACGCACTACAATGACAATAGTTTAAAGCGATTTGAAGCATGTTTTTTTTTGGGGGGGGGGGCAGAGCTTTGTGACGTCATATTTGAGGGGGGGGGGGTCTGACTTTTTGTGACGCCGTGTGACGAGGGGGGGGGTCAAAAATCGTCCAAATTCGCGTGACGTCATTTATGGACGGCCGCTAAAGTGATACAGATAAAGATACAGGTTTAGTGATGACGTTATCTTGTTCTATTTAAGACCGGAAGCAAGTGGATTGCTTCACTATTCTGGCAAATTGCTCGATGATGCTGGTTGTAATTACCAGCGAAACGTCGTACTACTCAAATTGTGAATGTTGTAAATTTACTCTCCAACACACCGGTGGGCTGAATTAGTGACTAATTGGCGTGTTTAGTTTACGCGACAAATCCCTTACTGGTTGGCTGTGTCGGGTGGTGGAGGTTTACGACACATTGATACTTACGCGATCGAACCTAAAAAGCCTTTATTATGAATAATATTGGTCACGAAAGCCTACTACGTGTTAAAACAGCCTGGAAAAACAGAGAGGACAACGGATATATAATGATTTGCACAAAGTTGATTGTGGGGGGTAGAGACAGGGAGGAGAATTAAGATACAATGATGAAAAATAATACGGGGAGGTGATGAGATGCAAGGGGAAGAAGAGATCAATGGAAAGGTGAAGGGATGATGAGGACGACGCTACTAATGGTATTGATGTTGATGTGACAGCCCCTCCACAATAGCGGGCGTGGTGGCGGGGGTGCTGTTGTTCGTGGCGATCTGTGTCGTGGTCTGCTGCTTCTCCTGCTCCTGCTGCGTCATCCGACAGATGATGAACATCTCATACGGACCCGGTGACCCACTGCTCACTCACTCATTTACTTATTCACCCACGCACTCACACACTCGTGCACTCACACACTCACCCCAACGAATCACCATCTCTCTTGCACTAATCATCCTGCTCAATTATGCACTCACCCACTCACTCATTCACTCTCTCACAGCCCCTGACACGAGCTCTACATTGACTACCAATCCACAATTCTAGATTTGAAGCTTTCGTGACTGCAATGATTCATATTCTTAGGTTTTTTCCGGTAAAGTCACGTAGGTAAAACATTTTAATTAATAAAATTTTACTTTAATTAAGTACTTTTACTTTTATTAATTTTAATTTTTTACCTACGTGACTTTACCGAATAAACCTAAGAATATGAATACCAATCCACAGTCAAATTAATGCTGCGTTCCCATGGCCACTGGCAATGAGGAACGGTGCTGCCTTGTTCGAGCACGACTCGAATCGTGTTCCCAATGCTACATCTGCGACGCCTCTCCGTGGACTCGGCCCTTCATGCTCCTTCGTGCCACATCATTGTCCCCCTCCCGGCTACCCTTTCCCGGCCAGAGGGAAGTGATCGTAAACGTGGATATTTTTATGAACGTTTTCGGCGAGTCGATAAAGTTTTATCACCGTGTTTTTTTTCTCTTACAACAAAGGTAATTGAGTAGGACACCCCGACCGCTGCCAATGCGATACTGACTACTGCATAGGCGTGTGGTGCACAAAGCACAAATTACAAAATACGCTACACATTAGTCAACAATGCTACGTTTAAGTTGATTTAAAAAAATATATATAATCGGCAACGTTTTGGGGCAATGGCCCCTCTTCATAGCACATCTCGATTTGTGAAACGGGCAATGACACGGATCCTGATGCCATCGTTAGGTCGACTATCAAGTGATTCGTGAAGCACCAAAATCGGACGTGAGCGAAGAGACGCTATTGACCGCGCGTCTGTCATTCTGTACGGACACCACGACCTCGACATTGATTGGAGGGAGGCTCGGTGGAAGAGAGTCGTGGCTCCCTAATGAAAGCGAGCGAGAGAGCGGGTCGACATCATAAGGCTGAGTGAGTGGCCGGGTTCACAAACCAAGCCGGCTCGCTCCCCCAGTGGCCACAGAAAGGCAGCAGAATGCGAACACATTCAGTAAATAACTTTATTACAGATACAGCCTCGTCACCTCTACCCCTCACACAGTCTCTACCCCTCACCCAGCCCCCACCTCTAACCCTCACCCAGCCCCCACCTCTAACCCTCACCCAGCCCCCACCTCCACCCCTCACCCAGCCCCCACCTCCACCCCTCACACAGCCCCCACCTTTACCCCTCACCCAGCCCCCACCCCTAACCCAGCCCCCACCTCTACCCCTCACCCAGCCCCCACCTCTACCCCTCACCCAGCCCCCACCTCTACCCCTCACCCAGCCCCCGCCTCTAACCCAGCCCCCACCTCTACCCCTCACCCAGCCCCCACCTCTACCTCTAACCCAGCCCCCACCTCTACCCCTCACCCAGCCCCCACCTCTACCCCTCACCCAGCCCCCACCTCTACCTCTAACCCAGCCCCCACCTCTACCCCTCACACAGCCCCCACCTCTACCCCAGCCCCCACCTCTACCCCTCACCCAGCCCCCGCCTCTAACCCAGCCCCCACCTCTACCCCTCACCCAGCCCCCACCTCTACCTCTAACCCAGCCCCCACCTCTACCCCTCACACAGCCCCCACCTCTACCCCTCACACAGCCCCCACCCCTAACCCAGCCCCCACCTCTACCCCTCACACAGTCCCCACCCCTCACACCCCAGCCCTACCCCTCACACAGCCCCCACCCCTAACCCAGCCCCCACCTCTACCCCTCACACAGCCCCCACCCCTAACCCAGCCCCCACCTCTACCCCTCACACAGCCCCCACCCCTAACCCAGCCCCCACCTCTACCCCTCACACAGCCCCCACCCCTAACCCAGCCCCCACCTCTACCCCTCACACAGCCCCCACCCCTAACCCAGCCCCCACCTCTACCCCTCACACAGCCCCCACCCCTAACCCAGCCCCCACCTCTACCCCTCACACAGCCCCCACCCCTAACCCAGCCCCCACCTCTACCCCTCACACAGCCCCCACCCCTAACCCAGCCCCCACCTCTACCCCTCACACAGCCCCCACCCCTAACCCAGCCCTCACCTCTACCCCTCACACAGCCCCCACCCCTAACCCAGCCCTCACCTCTACCCCTCACCTCTTCTTCCCCTCCCCTCTCTCCTTCCAGTGCTCTCTCACTCCATGGCAATGTGTCCGGGGGGAGGGGGCGGCATGGGGGGTCCTGGGGGGGCAGCCCCCCCCCGAATGGGGGGGCCCTACCCTGTGTACAGCTCGGTGCCCACGAGGGAAGGGAGCCTCCCCAGCCCTCCGCTGCCGTCCCTGCCCCCCATGCTCCCCCCGCCCCCTGTGGGGTCTGGCGGAGTGGGTGGAGGAGGAGGTGGAGGAGGAGGAGCAGCAACGGGAGGAGGTGGAGGGAGGATGGCGAGCCTGCCCAGATATCAGCCGGCAGGTGAGATGATAACTTCAACATAATCAACATCGTCAGCAGTATCATCATCATCCTCATCATCAGCAGCAGCATCATCATCCGCAGCAGTAACAGCATACAGGATCACCATTATCATGAACAGCTGGAGCAACAGCAGCAGTATCATCATTGGCAGCTGTAGCAGTAAAAACAATATACTCGTTAGCGGCTGTATTCGTATTCACAACAGCAGCTGTAGCAGCAATAACATCAATAGCTGCTGTAGCAGCAGCACCATCCCTAGCATAGCCGTCGCCATCATCATCATCATCTTCATAATTTTCCTCATCACATCATCATCATCATAATTTTCCTCATCACATCATCATCATCTTCCTAATTTTCCTCATCACATCATCATCATCTATGTTTGCATATGTGGAACACTCACCTCCTCTTGGTTGGCCCCACGTCTGCATGTTTACTGGGGGTATGCGGGGGTACGTTTCTTCCTCGACAAAATGCCAGTGCCACAGCATCCCTTGAGGCTGTATCCTCTGTCTGCTCTTATAATTACCTACTTCCGTTAAAAGTGGTTGTCCTTTGGATGGACTCACCCCCTCCATATGAATGTGGAACTTCCACCACCATCTGTGCTGCATCAATGCTCACTCACTTGAGCAGGAGATGATTTTACTTAGACCCTGAAGACGACTGCTTGTGTTGCGATTGAAACGTCATAGTTTTTTGTTATATTTTGGTTATTTTCTTTGAACCTATCTACGTGACTTTACCGAAAGACCCAAGAATATGAATTCCTGCAGTCACGAAAGCTTTAAGTCAATATTTTGAAATGTCGTTTTTATAACATTAGCCATCAGTGATATGTCGATGATACCGTACTGTTAGATGCCGTTGGCTCTGATGATTTTAATTCGCTATAATTTCCTAAACCCTGTCTCAACCTGGATCTGTTAAACATTTCTCCGACTTATTTTCTTCTTTAAAACCAACGTCTTTATTGGAAAGAAATTATGGAAATACACCTACGACAAATATAAGTAACCTTGGCACTATCTTTGATGTTGGCCAAGTCAATACAAATCTTAACACACCCGTCAACAACTCTGCCCCGAAAGGAGAATAAATACACAATAGGTGACGTTTAGGGTCATAACCCTTCTTCATAGCACATACAATGATCAAATTAAATTATTTGTTTTCTGTGATCTAGAACTTTTTCATACGTCTCTCAACTTTGTAGGATGTCTTTATTTCATCTGTTCCATATCTCTTGTATCCATGATTCTCCTACCCCTTCTGCTGAAATCCTAATTTATGCCTTTAAGTATTTTTGTATGGACTGCTAGCGTCGACAATTAGCTAAACTGGTCCCGGGCCTCCCCTAGGTCAACTGAGCCTCAATTGAGTAGCTGGTACGATGGGTAAACATCGCCACTGGGGAGACAAAGGCGGCCGGGCGTGATGCTGGCCACCCAGCCCCTTGTGCGCCGTGCCGGCCTTCATAGGTGACCGCTAAGAGGACTTGCCCCAACAGTTTTCTAAAGGCTATACGGGGGATCTTTGTCTTTGTTGTGTGTGTGTGTGTAGCAATGTACGCAGCCAATGATCAGGCCTCCTACGAGTCCGGCTACGCTTCCAGACAAGATCCCAGCAGCACAGTTTGATCCCCCCCGCATACACACACAATACATATACCTACATACCTACACACACACACATATATGTGGGCAGTGGCATGGCCTAATGGTAAAGTGTTTGCTGCTTGTTGCAGAGGTTTACGGTTCGATTGCGGCAGGCTGCCCTGGTTATTACTGCGGGTGTATTTACCAAAACAAATAGCGCAGTCGATGATAAAGATCCCCTGACGTTATTAAAAATGAGTAGGCCATTGTGTGCCGGTGTCAACGTCTAAGTATGCCAAAATTTGAAGAAGAAAAAACCTGGCCAATTACTCAATTAAGATTACACATAGCAACATCGCCCCTCAGTGGGAACCTACTGCAAGATATATCTGTGAAACATAGCACCTTTGTGATAGCCGTGCACTGAAGTAATGGCACAAATATTATACTTACATAGATACACGTACATGCAATACACATACCTGTACACATATACCTACATACATATAGATAGATATACGTACATTTACAGAATATGTATGCTTGTATACTCGGGACGGGTTCCCGAGTTTTGGATGTGAAAATCAAGCGTAGATTTGAAATTTCTGAAGATCCAATAAAAAGGTTTGTTTATGTTTGACCGGATGAACCGGAAGTGACATATCTAATTTGAAATCACTGAATGGTGTCACAAGGCATTGAGTTGACACCACTGTTGTTAGCATGCAGGCAGATAGATATATAACGTCATGTAAATGGTCCAAAAATATGAAGAATTATTTAAAATACAATACAAAATGTTTTCATCTGATAATCATCATAAATATATATCTCTATCACACGCACACGGGGGGCTTAATTTATCAACGAATATTTTCCAGGTCGCTGGTAGACTGGAGCATGCACGTGGCTAGTAGCCACAGCTGTAGTGAGAGCTCTATTTGGTGTGCTGGGTGTAGACATAATATCTGGGTAGCTAAACCTGGGCAGAGACCCTGGTGAGATTAAGTCCTTCATATTCACACACTTACACGCAAACTACTACACATTTACCGTACTCTTAGACATATACAGTCATATACATACACATATAATAACTATTGTTCTTGATATACATCTGCTCAGTGTTCTGTCCCGCAACTATCAACGGTTGTTACCTAAATCATTTACGAACCCAAACACCACACGGCTCTTCACTCGTAGCTACGTACCTCGGTTGTGTGACATGGACTGTCCCTCGTGGGTCCGAAGATTCGTTAGTGACCCACGTGGGACATTAATGGCATCACTAAAGTGTCTGTCCTGGTTTTAATTTGGCGATATAAACAAACTTTTTACAACATTCCAACCTTATTGTCACCGTTTCAAGAAGCACAATAACGCTGCCGGGTGAAAAAAATAAACCTTAGAAAGAGATTCTGGGATCGCTAAGCAGCTCTGACAGCTCTCCGATGTGTTTTCAGGGTGCACCGCGTGTTGTTGGGTGTGATGTCGACGTTTCTTTGCACGTGCTGAAGAAGCTGAACTGAAGAAGTTGCCAGAACGTGGAGCGAGACGTCGGTTTTGTGATGCCGAACAACGCACGGTTCAGCACGAAAACGCAATACATGCGCGGAAACCTACACAGTCGTAAATCGTTGTAATATTATCGTATTTATATTATTTATAACATTGTATTCAACCCGCTAAACATATTGTTATCGTTGACTTAAAGGTCATATGCGTTGTCCATAAAAGTCATGTTGAAGATTATAATGACATTTTTTGATACGGTACTTCTCAAGTGTCAACAAATATGGCACGAAACGTTTTAAAAAAAACTCGACAAATTCGTGAACAACACTATGTGAGACCTTAAAATATTTTTTTCATATATAATAGGCCATATTTCCGGGCAATTGCTCTTCTTCATAACACTTAAATATGCATTTTAATTGTGGGAAAAAAAATCAGTCAATGCAGGATGCATTTTCGTTCAGTACAGATGAATTTTGCTACTTTGCTAAAAAAAACTGTGGAAACTCAGAAATATGAGCGCATGGGGACTGTGAGCAATATGGAATCCTAATCAGTATGGGTACACTACCACTCGTGATAATCGTGTATCTGCTGACAGCTCTCTGGAAGGTGCTTATAGAGTGGATTTACAAATGTTCTGGATTACCAGCGTTCAGATTTTTGACGCTCCACTGCACAAACGTACGTTCACAGATTAACACTTGCCACGGCCCTTGCAAGCTTAACCACTTTGCGGAGCGATTGGCAAGTTCCGAAATTATGACTCCCAGTCTAATTGGCAATATGTAATCATTTGTTCATTACTATCCCTTTGTAGGGCAGGAAAAAACTTGCATTGGATTAACGGTCTTAAGGAAGGTACAGAATAGCGAGTGATTACTACTTTTCTTTTCACGGTGTGGCTTTTAGAGTAAACTTAAAAAAATTAAAATAATTATTTTGTGATGCTGCTACTGCAGCAATGGCAGTGGTGCACAAGCACAAAAAATGCAAACCCAACACATTTGTCAACATTACTGTGGTGTTAAAATAAAACGTAGAATCGGCGACGTTTGAGGCAATGGCCCTTCTTCATAGCACATACACCGCTTAAGACAGTGTTGTTGATGAGTGTGTTGAAAATTCAAACCCAACTGTCACTGGAACTGGATTGTCATGTCGCGACTCCAAAAATTGGACCAAATGTATTTTACAAACCATTTAAAATTACCGTTGACATATTTGTGGGTAGTTTTTATTTTGAAGACATCCCGTAACCATGACTGCATTTGTCGCTTATCAGCTTTTTTGAATGGAGGGTAATAGAAATAAACTCAAAGATGGTCTACAGAGTTAATAGATAATGTATGATTGAACTTGCTATGATAATGAGTGATGAAATCAGCTCGATGCTAGATGGATTACATTGTAACATCACAGGATTGTGAGAGGTGGTGGTGGCGACTTGGGGAGGCCTTCATCCAGCAGCTAATTGACCTTGACTGATGATCAATTAAGCTCAGAACCCCTGTGTGCCTGGGACACACAGCCGAGGTGTGTGGCTATAAGAGAAGAGCTGTTTCTTGGGTATATCTTCGTTTAAATGACGTGTGTATGTGTGGTACTTTATATACAGCAAATGTAGACTGTTACACTATTTGTGAATTAATATGGACAGAGCAGTATTTAACGCTAAATGGCACTAGCGTCACTCAATATGAGACATGTGACATGTTAGTATTATAAACATGAGGGAATGAGTTCAAGCCCTGGGTCTGCGTGTCCATTTCATGAAGGAGGTTCATGATGGCTGTGTCAGGAACACCGAGCCAAGCATCACTGAGGACCTGGGTTCAAGCCCTGGGTCTGGGTGTCCATCTCATGAAGGAGGTTCATGATGGCTGTGTCAGGAACACCGAGCCAAGCATCACTGATGACCTGGGTTCAATCCCTGGGTCTGGGTATCCATCTCATAAAGGAGGTCCGTAATGGCCGTGTCAGTGACACTGAGTTGGGACTGTTGGAAATCCTGAGTTCAAGCCCTGTATAGGGGACTGGGTGTCTCGTCCTTCCCACAGTGCGTTCATAATGGCCAAGTCATAATGATGATGGAGAATGAGACACCATGTTTTCTCCAGCCACATGATAAAATTGTTGTGCCTATAGAAGGTAGTATAGCAAGTAGGCTACTTGGCTGAGAGACACCAGGGTTTTAAGATGTAAGCATACACGTTAAGTGTTCCTTTATGAAGCTATAGGGGGGGGGGGGAACCGTTATTTATCTCAATATCTCTGTGTGTGCGTACACATGTATCATAATAGTTGTGGCTTGTGAGTAAGGTTTTGTAAATGAGTTGGATATTTTGTGATTAATGTATTACTTCTGCTGCTAATATGTGAGATTGTCAAATTTTACACAAAATAAATAATTGGTTGTCGGAACAAAGTTCGTGTTAAAACATGTGTTTTTTTATTCTCTTTGTGTCGTTATAAAAAATATATGGTTACAACATTTTTAGTCAAAAGTGGTGTTTTTTGTAGTATGGAGAGACTGGGCCCCACCATGTCAACGTGGAATTTCCACCGCTGACTCGGGGCTGTCATTGGAGATCAGCAAGGAGCCATAGCTGATGTAAACATTACTTTAAAACACTGAAGTACCATTTATATAACTTAAAAAATTTAAGTAAAATCATTTTAAATATAATTTGATACTAACATTAGTAAGTGTAGTGAAGTGACTACATTACCTAACGATGATTATACCAAGTCTACGTTAAATTTAAATAATATAACAATTATTTATTGAATTGGTTTCCAATTGTAAAAATCAACACCTTATCTGCACATTGCCCATTTAAAGTTCATACTATTTGCCTACTTGGTGATGCTGCTGTTGCGTTGGCTGTAGTGCAAAAGCACAAATAACAACAAAACCTACTCAACACAATCGTCAATAAAGCTATGGCCTAAAAATGAAAAAAATATATAAAATAGGCGACGTTTCGGGCAATGGCCCTTCTTCTCACAATAAAGTATCTATTGCGTCATTCCTTACACTGAACCCCTTTATGACGTCATTCTGCCAAGACGACGACGTCACAATTCGGGACCTGAATCGCACGCGCCTCTTGTCAGCCAACATGTCGTCACGCCGACAGCTCCGCCAGTGTGCCCGTGACGTCATCCTACCAGTGCGGTGACGTAGCCCGCAAGGCTGCTGAGTGACGTCATTTCGGGGTATCCGCGGCAACCGCGAGGGGACGCCGAGGCGGTGACGTCATCGCGAAACTGTACAAACACACGTGGCGCTCAGCGTCACCAGGCGAGTTTCACTCCGTCGTGGTTGATATCCTTCGTTTAACCAGGTGAGCAGCCCATTGAGATGACATCGTGATTGACGTCCTTTATTCAACCAGGTGAGCAGCCCATTGAGATGATCTCGTGATTGACGTCCTTTATTTAACCAGGTGAGGAGCCCGTTGAGATGACATCGTGATTGACGTCCTTTATTCAACCAGGTGAGCAGCCCATTGAGATGATCTCGTGATTGACGTCCTTTATTTAACCAGGTGAGGAGCCCGTTGAGATGACATCGTGATTGACGTCCTTTATTCAACCAGGTGAGCAGCCCATTGAGATGACATCGTGATTGACGTCCTTTATTCAACCAGGTGAGGAGCCCATTAAGATGACATCGTGATTGACGTCCTTTATTCAACCAGGTGAGCAGCCCATTGAGATGACATCGTGATTGACGTCCTTTATTCAACCAGGTGAGCAGCCCATTGAGATGACATCGTGATTGACGTCCTTTATTCAACCAGGTGAGGAGCCCATTAAGATGACATCGTGATTGACGTCCTTTATTCAACCAGGTGAGCAGCCCATTGAGATGACATCGTGATTGACGTCCTTTATTCAACCAGGTGAGCAGCCCATTGAGATGACATCGTGATTGACGTCCTTTATTCAACCAGGTGAGCAGCCCATTGAGATGACATCGTGATTGACGTCCTTTATTCAACCAGGTGAGGAGCCCATTGAGATGACATCGTGATTGACGTCCTTTATTCAACCAGGTGAGCAGCCCATTGAGATGATCTCGTGATTGACGTCCTTTATTCAACCAGGTGAGGAGCCCATTGAGATGACATCGTGATTGACGTCCTTTATTCAACCAGGTGAGCAGTCCATTGAGATGATCTCGTGATTGACGTCCTTTATTCAACCAGGTGAGGAGCCCATTAAGATGACATCGTGATTGACGTCCTTTATTCAACCAGGTGAGCAGTCCATTGAGATGACATCGTGATTGACGTCCTTTATTCAACCAGGTGAGGAGCCCATTGAGATGACATCGTGATTGACGTCCTTTATTCAACCAGGTGAGCAGCCCATTAAGATGACATCGTGATTGACGGCCTTTATTCAACCAGGTGAGCAGTCCATTGAGATGACATCGTGATTGACGTCCTTTATTCAACCAGGTGAGCAGTCCATTGAGATGACATCGTGATTGACGTCCTTTATTCAACCAGGTGAGGAGCCCATTGAGATGACATCGTGATTGACGTCCTTTATTCAACCAGGTGAGCAGTCCAATGAGATGACATCGTGATTGACGTCCTTTATTCAACCAGGTGAGGAGCCCATTGAGATGACATCGTGATTGACGTCCTTTATTCAACCAGGTGAGCAGCCCATTGAGATGACGTCGTGATTGACGTCCTTTATTCAACCAGGTGAGGAGCCCATTAAGATGACATCGTGATTGACGTCCTTTATTCAACCAGGTGAGCAGTCCAATGAGATGACATCGTGATTGACGTCCTTTATTCAACCAGGTGAGGAGCCCATTGAGATGACATCGTGATTGACGTCCTGTATTCAACCAGGTGAGCAGCCCATTGAGATGACGTCGTGATTGACGTCCTTTATTCAACCAGGTGAGGAGCCCGTTGAGATGACATCGTGATTGACGTCCTTTATTTAACCAGGTGAGGAGCCCGTTGAGATGACATCGTGTTTGACGTCCTTTATTCAACCAGGTGAGCAGCCCATTAAGATGACATCGTGTTGACGTCCTTTATTCAACCAGGTGAGCAGCCCATTGAGATGACATCGTGATTGACGTCCTTTATTCAACCAGGTGAGGAGCCCATTGAGATTGAGTGTTTCTCGTGTTTGACATCCTTTATTTAACCAGGTGAGAACCCATTAGAAGACATTGAACCTCTCGTAAACGACTCCCCTTATTTCACTTCTTCGTTGTCACTAACTGTATCATGCTTTTTTTTAAACACAAAGTGACTGCATTACAATCACGGAAGCACTGAAGAAAGTTACTTCAAAGTTTGTTTTTTTACTCGTGAACGCAGCCTCACACTGATGTGGGACACACACAGGCTTGGTGTTGTTGTATATGTTGGGTATGAAAATTTGTTATGCTGTATGCGTGCGTGGGTGAAATTATTATGTTGTATATGTGGGTTATGAATATTCAGTGGAAATAATAATAATTAAATGAAATTTGGCCAAATGTGTAATTATCCGGAAATATGTTAATTTATGTAATTACGCACATTTTAATTATGCCAATTCGAGAGGTAATCGTATTAATTATGCGAGTGGGTGTAATTATGATAGCGCAAGTCGTTATGATAACCAGACCCCGGTTCACCCCGTTATCGCTTTAACATTTACTGAGTATGTATTAGTGTGTTTATTAAGGTCACCAAGTTCAAATCTCAACGCAGAAGCAGATCTTATGCATAGATTTCAGGAAAGAATCACACAACCACTTCTGTATTGATCAATTTATTACTAATTCAACCTTAACTATGATATAGTATGCGAACTCTCAATCCCGGAACGTCAATACGGCATCAATACAGTATCATCAACGATTGTCTGATTTCACTTTGACAACGGCACATGGATCCCGCATAACGCGATGGTTCTTAGTGAGAGAGAGAGTCGTTAAAACATGCAAATATTATGCTAAGAAAACCTTAACGTTAATGAATGATTATACTCAATATTGTTCACGCAGTACCGCACTCCTTATTGATCATACGCAACCCTTATCACGTTGTTAACACCTTGGGTCACGGAACAGTTGAATATTCTGTAGAGGATGCGAGTACGTGCGGCGATTATGACTGAAAGATACTTGAAAGATTATACGGCGATAAAAAAAAAATACAATCAAAACAGTTATTATTCTTAAAGGCACCAATCTCAACAGATACATCGGCAGGTTATCTGACAACAGAACGGCTCGGAGTAAGGGCCTGCGACGGTGCTCCTTTTCCGAAGCTCGTTATCTTATACCAAGTTTACTAATTGGGGACCAGATCACCTGATAAGGGTCCGGTGGGCCACCACTCCCCACGTGAGCGTGGCTCGGCGGAAGGAGGTGCCAAGAATCAGTTCGTATTGATGGATCTGTTGGGAATTTATGCGATTAAGAGTACAGCCCACTAAATATTAAAGATAAAAATTAAGAATACTCTTATAAACGACGGAGGGCCATCACTCGGTCTCGTTGTGATGCTTTCCAGCCACGGATGGCTTATGGGTTCGAGTGTTTTTGAGTGGTAAGAGTTGTCTTGAATAGTCAGTGTTCGGAGTCGATTCTTTAGGTCAAACAGACGCCTGGTGGTCGTGTGGTGAGGGGGCGGTGCGCGTCATACGTATCAGTCGATCCCGTGGCGAATTGGTTCGGATGGCAGTTGATACGCTGTCGCAGTTCGGAACCCGGTCGGTAGGTGGCGCCCACAACTCGCTCGTAGCGTGCAGCGCTGGATCGTCGCCAAACCGCAACGATCACCACTCCGGCGGCAGCAGAGATCTCCGGCGGCAGCAGAGGTTGACGAGCTGAAGATGAGTCGAGCCGACCCGCTGGTCGCAGCTCGCTCCTGAGTCGACCCTCCCGGTCGAGCTCGCTCCTGGGTCGACCCGCTGGTCGCCCTCGCTCCTGAGTCGACTCTCTGGTCGCACTCCTGAGTGGACCCACTGGTCGCACTCCTCCTGAGCCGACTCCCCCGGTCGCGCTCCTGAGTGGACCCTCTCGTCACACTCGTTCCTGAGTCGACCCTCCCGGTCGAGCTTCTGAGTGGACCCTCCCGTCGCACTGGTTTCCAATGCTCAGGATCCTTTACTTTATGCCGAAAATTCCCCCTGGATCCCGCCCACAAGGCGGGGCTTCTTCCGATTTTTGCTGTGTCAGGATCTGTCCGTAGGCAGGTGTGTCCATGTGTCTGTCCGTATGTCCGTGTGTCCTTGTGTGCATCACTGACGGTATATTCGTTGTCACACTCCCTCCATAAAACCCACGAGCAAACAATCAGATGTTACAAATTGCCTCGAAGTCGTCTCTCTGTCTGGGTGCAATATTATCTCTTGTCTGGCCGTCTTCATGACCCAAAACACAGACGTTACAAATCGTCTCATAGGCGTCTTTGTTCGTGTTGCACAACCTGGAGGGAGGGGCAACACTCTCTCCGACCCGGCGCACAAAGAAATGGTTAAAAAGTTTTAAGTTAACATTTGTCCCTTACTATTTCACAGTTATGATTCTGTATGTAACCTAAGGTCTGTCGTTTCCCATCGTGGTGCCCGACCCAAGTGTAGGTGTTTCCCCGAGCGTACACACACTCCTATCCCGCGCTGCGGGGATACAAAGACGGCCGGGATCTCCCTTTCTCTCCGACCCTGGGTTTAACATCGTTGTTTTTTTTATTATGTATTATATTCGACCTGGTTGTGATTCATCCCGTTATCCTGGCTTTTCCATAAGTTTTACTTTGTCATTTCATGCATATACTTATTACTATTAATTTATTTCCGATATCTTAGGTTAAGGGGTAAGTTTCTTGATCCTAGGAATTCGTATTCCTTGGTGCCTGGATGGTTATATAAGCGGAATATAGTTTACGGTGAATAGCGTTAACATTGATGTTATGTGCGATATTATGTATTGTGATGTCTTTAACTTAACTTGTTTGTCAGGGCTTTACTGACACGAAGTTGCATTCCATAGCCCGCAGTCTTTGCCCCACCCTATCTCTGCTCGCCGTTGTTGTTGCCTGCCGTTAATTCAAGGCCTCATTAATTTCCGTCCCTCCTGAGTAGGTGAGGGCGGTTGAACCTTGGAGTCAGTTCTGGTTTTTGTCTGCCTGCTTCTTCTTGTGTCCCCTGACCCCGGGAGTTATTATTCTACTTTATGGCCTGTCGAAGCCCCACTCGCTGTTGCTGGGCTGGTGTTGTTCCCGGCTTTTGCTTACGTTTGCAGTTCGCCGTGCTCTTGATTTCCTTCCCTCTTCAACCTTATATTGACTATTCGCTCCTGTCTGGGTGCGATTCAATTTTGACTTAGGAAGGTTCTGATTGTCATATGCTTCGGGTCGAATTGTATAGAAAGTATTGAAGTATGGAAATAACATTTCATATTGACTTAATAATGGTGATGGTTCAGTAGGCGTAACTTGTGGCCTGGTTTAATTGGAGTGGGTGTGAGTATCGATAACTTTAGCCTACCCTGTTGTTAAATTCCGACTTTAACGTTACTTTAATAGCAATACAGAATAATTGAGCTTTTTGTCTTAACTAGGCGAATGCGAACTTCTGGTGACCCCGCAGCCTTGTTGTTCAGCTGGGTCTGCCTCCTTGAGAGATATACACCACTCTTATTCTCGTCTCACTGTGGTCATCCAACCTTCTGCTCTGGGAGTGTTATTCTTACTTTCAGGTCAAAGGCCCCCTCACGTTCAGACGTGCAGGGTTGTTTACATCAGCTCCCCCCCTGTGCACGTGTTCTAACTAGCTCGGAATCCCTGAACACACAATCAGTGATGATTCCTGGCTTTCTGTGGTTGTGATTTAGACAAAGGCGCCTCTGTTTCTTCCATTGCCTTTGAGTCGACACTGCCCTATTATTTGCCCATGTGCTGAGGTCATAGAATTCGTTTTGACTTCAGTAATATTAACATTCAGTATTGGATTAGCAAATGGGCAATGGTTCATTTATGTAGCTCGCAGCCTGGTCTCCAATTTGAGCGAGCGCGAGGATCGGTAATTTAGCCTACTCTGTTGTTGAATTTCGAATTTTGACGTTACTTTAAAACCATGCAGGATGGTTGGGCTTTTTGCCTTAACTATGTCTGGCTGACACTCCCACTGTCTCTGCCGCCTGCACGGGTGACATGTGCCCGTTCATCAGGCCTTATCGTTCCTTGAAGCAAGGTTGCAAATTCTGCCATCCTAGCCCTCCTCCAGTTCATTACTTAACAACACCTGGTGTTTTGCAGTTTGCTGCGCTTGGTGTGTTTCAATCATTAAAAAAACAAGTAAAAAGATAATATATAAAAATCATCAAATATTATTAATCTCAATTATGGAAGAAGGGTTAGGATACAACATACCGCCCTTTTAAAAATGACCAGTGGTCAAATGGCCACGGGTTATTTTTAAAAAAATATGTATACCCTTCTTCCATCATGAACCATCGATTGTCCTCAAGTTTTGCTGCTATTCCTTACAACGCGTGCGTACGTGTCACAACTTAACATGGTTATATTTGAATTGAGCAAAGAAAATTAAACAAGCGTTAAACATCGATATTGCGTTACATCGGTTCTGATACATCATGACTCCGACGAATATTCATTTTTGTTTTTGTTAAATCCTGGGAAACGCTAGGTAGCGGTTTCGAACGCATTTATGCGTTACCTTCCTCATGTTGCCTCGTTCACCACTTATCACTTCGATAATTCGATCACGGTTTTCGGGTTCGTTTTTGTAGTTTCCTCTCTGACTCTCTGTGTCGTGGGAGTGTGTGGTGAAAAATTGTGCTGCACATAACCAGAATTCGCGCACACGACCCACTTTGACACTTGGTTCGAGGCATTCGCTCTCTCTGCGATTACATGCACATTTGCCGAGTCAGTGTGTCGATTTAATTCTGTCCCTCGTAATGTTGCCCTCTTTGTTTTTACTAGTGTGTTGGATTTCAACACCATTCCCGGTACGTCATGGACATTCGTCTCCATTTTAGCACTCCGATCCACATAATTTTTGGTTTCCCTTGGATATTTCCCATTCAAAGGCTCATGCCTGCGCTCCTCAGGGCGTGTCCCTGCTGTCTGTTTTTGTACTGTCCGATCACGCTTCAATGCAACCCTGTCCTTGTATTCGATCCGCGCGTCATTTACGGGAGCACTGTCCACGTTTTTGCCCGCCCTGTCACTTGCAGCCTGCCTGTATTTCACATTGAGCCCGGGTTTAACACCTCGGCGGGTGTGGCGCGTATGGGCTGCCCGCTCTCAATCACTGTGGATGGTTCATCACGTATTTGGACCGTATTCTGTGTTATTCCTCTATTCCCTCCTGG